CTCTTCACATCAAAACGCAGAGGTCAGACCTGCGTTTCAACATCAAAACGCAGAGGTCAGACCTACGTTTCAACATCAAAGCGTAGAGGTCCTTCCTACGTTGCAACATCAAAAAAACGCAGAGGTCCTTCCTACGTTGCAACATCAAAACGCAGAGGTTAGACCTGTGTTGCAACATCAAAAACACAAAGTTTCTCCCTGCGTTGCAACATCAAAAACACAAAGTTTCTCCCTGCGTTGCAACATCCAAATGCAGACTTCATTGCTGCGTTTTTAGCACAAAACGCAGAACTCAACTCTGCGTTCCAGATCCAAAAAGCGGTGCAGCCACTGCGTTCTGAGCCAACTGAAAATGTCCAACTTTGCGTTTCAAGTCTAAAACGCAGAGTTCGGGCCCAGAACGCTGTTTTCAGTATTTGACTCGTTCAAACACGAGTTGAACGGTTCCAGAAACCGTTTGCTCCCCACGATTTGAGGGATTTCCGTCTCACTTAAGAGCGGATTAAGGGGGAGGTTACACCCTATTCAACCCCATTATGGAGAGAATTAAGGGGATGGTTACACTCCTTAATCCTCTATAAATAGCTGGAAAATCAGCTTAGTTCGGATCTTTCGGCTTGGTAGCAAAGAAGAGATCTTTGGTTGACTTTTTGGGATCTTCAATCTGGAGCTTTGGATATCAGCAACTTGGATCGAGTAACTCTTGGATCATCTCGGAAGGCTCTTATTGAAGCCTTTGAGATTACTCGACTTGGTTTTTTGAACTCTTTCTAAGAGTTCTTCTTAACTCGATCAGAGTTAAAAACTTGCTCTTCAAGTTCTTCTAAACTCTTGACGAGTTGAAGAACTCTGAACTCTTAACTCGACTTGGTTTTTTGAACTCGTTCAGAGTTCTTCAACTCGTCAAGAGTTTCAAACTTGTCACGCAAGTTCTCCTCAATGTCAATCAAGAGTAATCAACCACATTTCAGTAAAAATAAGACGTTCGGATCGTCAACGAGAAGCAAACTCGATGCGAGCATTCGAGGGAGGTATCTCATCGCCACCGTGAAGAACCCAGAATTAAACAAAGTAGAGGATTTATATTGATCCTCTTCTCTTTTGTAATCAGGAATTCAAATTGTAATTGAGATTGAGAGAGTTGTAAACATTCTTTTTCTAAGCAGTTAGAAAGAATAAATCAAATTCAATTCTTTCATTTTCTTATTACAAATTTTCCAACAAACAATGCCACGCAACCAAATACTCGTAAGTGTGAGAGATTGACCTTCTTGCCACTACAAACCTCCTCTGGAATCTCGAAATCCAATGAAACTGATGGCCCATGATTAATCAGGTAAGCTGCCCTATGCATCGAGTCCGCTCAAAAATATCTTAGGCAGTCCTGCATGTAATCGCATGCTCCTGGAATGCTCCGTTAATGTTATGTTCATCCTCTCCGCTATGTCATTCTGTTGCGGCGTCCCTGGAGTAGTCTTCTCCAAACGAATCCCGTTCAAAGTACAGAACCTCTTAAACTCCTCCAACTCATATTCTCCATGGTTGTCTGATCTCAGACATTTCACCTTTAGATCTGTATCTTTCTCCATCATAGCTTTTCACTTCTTGAAGATTCTGAACACATCTGACTTGTTCTTCATGAAATAAACACACACCTTCCTCGAGTGATCGTTGATGAAGGTGACATAATACGCCGAGCCGCCAAGAGAAGACACACTAGCTGGACCCTATTCATTTGTATGAATAAGCTCTAGCTTATGAGCTTTAGGTGGTCTTCCACCCTTTAGAAAACTAACTCTCTTCTGCTTCCCAAAGATGCAGTCCTCACAAACACCGACTTCCACGGAATCGATGCCGGTTAGCTCAATTCCCTTCTGAGTGAAGAATCTTCATACCCTTCTCACTCATATGTCCCAGCCTATTGTGCCACAAATCTGCACTCTCCTTGCCTGTTGCAACTGCGAGAGTGTCACTCACATGTAAAGTTAGGTAGAGGGTACCGGTCTTATTACCTCGAGCAACCATCATTGTACCATTAAAGATTTTCAACGAATCCCCTGTGAATGTTAAAACATAGCCTTCTGCTCTAAGCTATCCCACTGAAACAAGATTCCTCTTTAGCTTCGATACATGTTTGACTTTCTTCAGATTCTACTTAGAGCCCTTCATCTGTATCTGCATGTCACCCTTTCTAACAATATTGCAAGGCTCGTTATCCCCCAAATATACTTTCTCAATTTCCCCTGCTATATAATTCTGAAGAAGCTTCATGTTAGCAGTGACGTGAAAAGAGGCTCCTGAGTCGATGACCCAAGAATCAGAATCATTGTACATAGCAAGGATCAAGACATCTTGCACGATATGAGCCTCCTGCTCGTTCGTATCCTTCTTTGGCACTTTACAGACTGAAGACATATGGCCATCATGGCTGCAGTTTCAAAACTTCCCTTTGATAGGCCTAACTTTCGAATTCGACCTCTTCTTGGTAGACTTCAACTGATTCCTGTTCTGGTTACCCTTCTTCTGGCTCCTGCCTCTCTGCTTGAAACTTAGGGCTGAACCTGAACCTTCTGATTCAGACGTTTTCCTTCTAACCTCCTCGGATAGAATCATGCTAACAACCTCGCTCAACTTTAATTTCCCCTTCCCCGCCGAATTGCTGATTGCCGTCACACAACCTGCCTAACTATCCGACAACTGTGATAGTAACAATAAGGTCTGCACTTCGTCATTGAACGTGATATCCACGGAGATGAGTTGATCAACAATCGTGTTGAACTCGCTGAGGTACATCGCGAAGGACCGTCCTTCTGCCATCTTGAGGTTGAAGAGGGTTTTGACGAGATGCACCTTGTTTACGGCAGACGATTGATTGTACATCTTCGCGAACGCTTCCATAAGCCACTGTCGTCTTCTCCTTCATTTATGTTGTGGTTGACTGTCTTGGCGAGGGACAACCGGATTTACCCTAAAGCCTTCCTATCCAGTATCTCCCAGTCCTCGTTTGACTCCTCTTTCTTCTTTCCCTTAGCTTTGCCCATCAACGGGCGATACATGTCCTTCTGGTACAGATAGTCCTCCATCTGCGACTTTCAGTAGGTGAAGTCTGAGCCGTCAAACTTCTTAATCTTTGATTTGCTTTCTTTTGCCATGAATTTCTTTACAAATTGCTAAATTAAGCTCTGATACCAGTTGTTGGGGATTCGAAATAATCAAATCGAACTCTTGCCCATCTGGACCTTGGGTTGAAAGTTTAGCAAGCAAGAAATCACCGCAAATAAAAGATAAAAACTTGTAGGAAAGTAAACAAGAAAGAACACACCAGATTTAACGAGGTTCGACAACGTGCCTACGTACTCGAGAGCCACACCACACAATTCTTTTGATTAATTGAAGAAAGATTACAAGCTCACAAATAGGGTTTAATCTCTCTATGATCTCTCAGAAAGAATATCTCAAAAGCTCTCTTTTCAATGCATAAGAAACCCTAAAAACGTTTAGGTATATATAGGATTCCAACTCAAACCAGAATCCCAAACAGATTTGGAAACTGGAAAACCCGTCGCCGGTTGATCGGGCCTTATCCCGCGGTCGATCGGCCAGAGCATAGATTTCTACAGGGTTTGTGTGCACGTTTGCAGTCGACTGCCCGGTCGACCGGCCAGATACCTGTTTTCTTCTCAGTTTCCTATAGGGTTCGAGGTCGACCGGACCATCTGCGGCGGTCGATCGACCCGAGAATTTCCAGCTTCTCAGTCTCGTTCAGGTTTCGATCTTCACACCATCAAAACCAACAATTGGTCGTGTGGTGACTCCTCATTGTCACGCTTTGTTTCGGTGCTTCAACTGACAAGCTAGTAGGGGTTACATAGTAAGTCTACCATTTTCCCTCAATTTCTTGATTAGATGTAATTCTGATTGTTACGTTCAGTTCAAAGTTTATCAACACATTACTGGTCTATATCATGTGGTAAGCTTCTTATTTCTTGTGATTTGTCTTCATTATTCAAATGGTATTCCTGTTCATTGAAGCTATCATGCATATTATTCTATGAACTAATTTTATGACCAGTTCTATTCTAGTGAAACACCGAGTTCAATTAATGGCAATTTAGTATATAAACTGATTTTCATACTCTAGCTAGAATTCTCTCTTTCCTACTCAACGAGATATACCCTGTTCTGGTGAGTTACGATGAGTAAGCTTCACAGTCAGTTATGCTGTTAAACCATGATTCAATACTTAACTAATAAATCAGTTCTTCATAATTTCATTGAGTATGGGTCTCTACTTCATTTCCACACAAATGTTCTCTGTCCGAATCCCTTTTTTGCCAAAATTCGAGAAAAGGCACATACATTTATAGTTCTCATGGAATAGATAGATTTGCACAAGATAGAAAAAGAATAGAAGCATACAACAAATGCGCTGATAGTAGTCGCGGAATAGATAGATTCACGAGAAGACATAAATAAAATTTATGATCAAATTTCCCCCATTTATTTATTTGTTGGTATGAACTTTTCAAAACTTTTTAAAAAAAGTTAAGGTGACTGCATTAGTAGGAAAGATTATAGATACATGCTTGGTTCAATGCCAATTGATAGTGGTCCTGATCATAGCAAGTGCAGCTCTAAAGAGAGTTTTTATCTTACCAACCCCGCTCAAAGATACACTAAAATATGGTCCTTGATGAATATGAAAACAGATTGAGATGTAATCCAAAATAGACAATGAAAGTTAGCCAAGTCACTATGAAGACAATACTCAAAAAAGCATACATCATAAATTTCCATTCTCCATGATCATCTCTTGCTTGAAGCCTGTATCAATAGGCACTGCTACCTTGAAAAGTTACAACAATGCAGCTTGCACATTTCAAGGTATCAACTAATAATCAAGAAAAATAACGAGATCTACTTCTTTAGTGATGGAACAAAACTGAACTAGTTAATATAAAGCATAAATAATAGAAAAGATCAAGATCTACTTCTTTAGTGATGGAACAAAACTGAACTAGTTAATATAAAGCATAAATAATAGAAAAGATCAAAGATCAAAACCTGCAGATGAGTGCAAAACTGAACTAGTTAATATAAAGCATAAATAATAGAAAAGATCAAAGATCAAAACCTGCAGATGAGTGGAGAAAAAAATAAGTCTGTGATCAGCTTCTCTGCTCAACCAACCATCAAAAATACCAAGGCAGATAACACGCGATTATGCTCCTTTTCAGATCTATGTCCTCAGCGTCATCGGTTTGCTCTTCTTCATTCCAGCAGAACCCTCCACCTTCTTCTTCTTCTTCTTTATCCTCTTCTGAGTCAATTCATTGACTATGTCCCCCTCTTCGACATCTTCATCACCCAAATCTTTCACTTCCTTTGCTTTACCACCCTTCCTTGCCTTATTCTTCGTCCCCAATTCATCGTTCAAGGCCACGTCAACATCATCTCTCATTTTCTTTAGTTTCCTCTCCTTCGTTGGCTCTGATGCTACAATAGAATCCACTTCCATCTTCTTCTTCTTATTCGTCTTAACCTTATTCTCACTCAATTGTTTGTCAGCATGCCTCTCCCCTAGACAAGTGAAAGAAAACAGTGAAGAGGAAAGAACGAATTTTGAGGGGGGTTCCGCTAATGGGTAAGAGGTTTTTCACTTTCTTTTGTTGTGATTTCTCAAGGAGATTTCTCCTCAATTTATAGGGGCTGAACCCACTAACTTCACCCCCCGATCCGCCCCAATGAGAGATTTTCTCTCAACAACCCTTCCACGTTTTCACGTTCCACAATTCTCTCTACTGAGAATTGTTGATTTGGTCATCTTAGACCAGGTCAAGCTAACATCTCCCACTTGACCAAATCAACCAAGTGATATGCCTCCCACTATCCGTGAGATCAGATGTTTCTGCTTACCATTACTCCCACTATCCGTAGAGAGTAACTCTTATTTCATTATTCATGAAATTTTACTTGGACTTATTTATTCCTAAGTCCCATCAAACTTACATGTTTGATAAAAGATTCCGCTGGTATTCCTTTTGTCAAAGGATCAGCAATCATATCTGTAGTAGGGATATAAGTCACTTTGACTTCTCCCTTTTCTACAATATCTCGAATATAGTGATACTGGATCTCAATATGTTTTCCTTTGGAGCTATTCGCGCCACTATTAATTAAGCTAATTGCTGCTTGATTATCACAATAAATATCAATAGGTCCTTCTAACAAATTAAGATCAAGATCAATCAAAAACCGTCTTATCCAGACAGCATGTGTAGTTGCCATACTGCAAGCTATATATTCAGCTTCTTGCGTATATCTAGCAACACACCCTTGTTTCTTGCTGCTCCAAGAAACAGCTCCTCCTCCAAAGATAAATAAGTGTCCCGAAGTGGACTTTCCATCATCTTTATCACCTCCGAAATAAGCATCGGAATAACCGAGGAGTTCAAGCGAATCAGCTTGATAAACTAATCTATGAGTCAATGTACCTCTGATATACTTCATAATCCTTTTAACAGCTTCCCAATGTGCTGGTCCTGGATTACTTTGATATCTACTGACTAGACTCACAGCATAAGCTATATCAGGTCTGGTGCACAACATTGCATACATCAAGCTTCCAATTGCTTGAGCATAAGGAACATCTAATGGCTTCTGCCCCTCTCCAGGGCTTTGCTCTTTACATAATCTCTTTCCCATAACCAACGGAGTTGGTGCCGGATTGGAATTCTCCATTCCAAACCTTTTAAGAACTGATCTTAAATATTTTTCTTGGTTTAAACTTAGCATTCTAGACTTTCTATCTCGAATTATTTGAATTCCAAGAATATATGATGCATCTCCCATGTCTTTCATCTCAAACTTTTCGCTGAGATCTGCCTTGGTTTTATTCAACATTTCTATGTCATTTCCAGCGAGCAATATATCATCCACATATAAGGATAATATAGTAAACTTGCTCCCACTTTTCAAGACATATACACAATTATCTAATTTATTTTGAATAAAACCAAGTTTAGTAACTGCATCATGAAATTTGAGATACCATTGTCTAGAAGACTGTTTTAAACCATATAGAGATTTCATTAATTTGTAAACTTTATGTTCCTGTTCTTTCACCTGAAAACCTTCAGGTTGTTGCATATATATTGCTTCCTTCAACTCTCCGTTAAGGAATGCAGTTTTAACATCCATTTGGAATAACTCCAAATCAAGATATGCAACAATAGCCAAAATAATTCTAATGGATGCAAATTTAGCTACAGGAGAATACGTCTCCTGAAAATCTATTCCTGCCTTCTGGTTATAACCTTTGGCAACTAACCGTGCTTTGAATTTATCAATAGATCCATCAACACGATATTTCTTTTTGAGCACCCATTTGCATCCTATGGCTTTCCTATTTTCTGGTAGATCACATAACTCCCATACCTTATTCTTTTCTATGGAATCAAGTTCTTCTCTCATAGATTCTAGCCATGAAGCTGATTCATGCGATTTCATCGCATCAGAAAAAGTTAAGGGATCTTGTTCTTCTATATTTGTATCTACCGAAAAACAGGATGACTCACATGAATACAAATAGTAATCATCCATCCATGAAGGTTGTGTTCTTGGTCTTTTGTTGCCTACAACCGGTTGATTAGGTACATTATTTTCCATAGGTATTTCATCATTTTCAAGGTTAGGTTCATTCACAATATCAGGGTCATTAGTGGGAACAACACTGTAATAATCATCATCTATTACAGTTAGAGGTTCTGTTTCCTCTTGAACTTGTTCCTCTTCCTCTAGATTCTCTAGAAATGTAGCATCTCTGCTTTCAATGACACCTTTTTCTTTATTGTAGAACTTATAACCTTTTGACTTTTCTGAATACCCTATGAATCTACACTTTATTGTTTTAAAATCCAACTTATCTCTAAGTTGACATGGAATGAGAACATGGGCTATAGATCCCCACTTCCTGAGATGACTCAAATTAGGTTTCCTCCCATTCCATAATTCATAAGGTGTAGATATAACTGATTTGGTGGGAATTCTATTTAAAATGTAGTTTGCAGTTAACAATGCTTCTCCCCAAAAGTTTTTAGAGAGACCAGAATGAGACAACATGCATCTAACTACATTTAATAATGTTCTGTTTTTTCTTTCAGCAACACCATTCTGTTATGGCGTATACGGCATTGTTGTATGCCTTTTAATTCCATGCTGAATACAATAACTTTCAAATTCTTTAGAATTATATTCTCCACCTCTATCAGTTCTCAGAATTTTGATTTTCAATCCAAGTTGATTTTCAACTTCTGTCTTATATCTCTTAAAGCAGTCAAAAGCTTCTAATTTTCTGGATATAAGATAGACGTGTGCAAACTTGGAATAATCATCTATAAAAGTAATAAAATATTCTTTATTACTATGAGTTTTGACACTTAGGGGACCACAAATATCCGAGTGTATCAACCCTAAAAGTTCATTGGCTCTATGTCCGCCAACAAAAGGTTTTCTAGTCATTTTACCAGTTAAACAATGTTCACATGGTGGCAATTGAACATTAGATAGTGCAGGAAGCAAGTTCATTCTGATAATTTCTTTCATTTTTGAAATACTAGCATGTCCTAGTCTAGAATGCGCCGAATTCCTGGTGCATAGAACACATCTTTGAGGACAAGAATGCTGTCCCCAAGATCCAATCTATACGAACCAATACCTTCTACATCGAGATAGGTATTATTTCCCATATAGATTCTCTGTTCTCCTTTCTTCAGCTCGGTGAATTCTACGACTCCATTCTTGTCCTTTGCGATATGCCTAGTCGCACCGGAGTCGATCCACCAACCACTGATATCCGTCATCACAGCATTACATTCCGTCACACCGACGAATTCTCTTTTGCTAGTACCCCCTTGTTCTGGATGCTTATAGCCTCCCTTATTCTCCTGCTTTTCACCTTGTGGGCAATTGGGTTTGAAATGCCCGAACTTTCCACAATTGTAGCAGGCTCCACGGGGTACTTTCTTTCTCTTGAACTGCTGCGATTTCGGTCCTCGTGGTTGTGGTTTACTAGAACTAGGGTTTTTATAGCTTCCAGCATTATGCCTCTGGCGGACATAATTCAGCTCTTGCTGCACCATATTCAGTTCTGGTTCCTTCCTACTGGCTATTAAGTCCTGTTCTATCGCTAGGTGCATAGGAAGATCAGTGACAGACTTAATGGCAGGATTCATTCTTAATGTGGTGGCAGCCACAACAAGTGAAGGGGGAAGACTATTTAAAATGGTTGCCACTTGCATTCTTTCCGGGATTTCGGTCCCAGCAGTGGATAAGTCCTTAGCCATGACAATCATTTTATTTATATACTCTACGACATTGTCTCCCTCTTGCATACGACAAGAATTATACTTATGCAAGAGTAGTTGGATGTTAACTTCAGAAGCAGTGTCGTATTTTTCTTTTATTGCATTCCACATGTCCATGGAAGTTTTATAAGTTTCAAAAACTTTGATTAAGTTATCTTCCATGAACATGAGCATAAGACTTTTCGCCTTTTTATCTTTCGACTTCCACTGTTCAAACCCTTTCTTTTCTTCAGGTGTAGATTTATCAGTAAGGGTTGGAGCAGTGGTTTCGATTATATCATCAATATTGTCATGAATAAGAGCATATCCTATTTTTCTATGCCACATATCATAATTACTGCCATTAAATTTATCAATTTTGCCTAGTTCTGATAGAACGAGTTTACTAGCCATTCGGTAGAGAACTAAAACTAAATTAATTTTAAAAATTTGTATAAGGTTGATATTTTAACAATAATACTAAATAATAATAAATATAAAATAAATAAATAAATTAAATAAAAATGAACCTGATTGTTCTGAGTTGATGAAAGATGCTCCAATTTAAGCGAGTTTGTCACTTAGCAGTGTTGACTGAAGAGTCTGTTGTCGAAGCTTTGACGTCTTGAGAGCAAGTCACCTACTTCAAATGCTGAGGCAGTGAGACCTGTGGGCTTTAATCTTGAATTTGAACAGGTAAGTCACGAGTAGGCCTTGAAGATGATCAAAGTGGGTAGTACACGTGCTAGGAGTAGGCTATGACACGTGATAGGAATAGGGTCACAAGACTATGAACAAGTCTTAAGTCCGGTTTATAGGTGCTGGTTGTATAAATTGGATGTAGGACCCAAAAACAAAAAGATGTAGGCCTGTGGCTAGTTGGACGTTGAGAATGAATCCTTAACAAATTAAAAAAATAGAGGAAGAGGTGTGACAAGACTTGAGGAGGCTTGATGTATGCTAGCTGGACGTGAGAATTGTGGTTGTAGACTTTGTAGATGTAGCAAAGAGCTAGGTTTGTAGATGTAGGCCTGTGGCTATGAACAAAAAAGTAGGACAGAAAAATAAAAGAGACAGGCTGTGTACATAGGACCGAAAAATAAAAGTGTAGGCCTTTTCTTCTTCAAAAAATTGCTGCTGGTTCTTCTTCTTCAACCCAACTTTTCTTCTTCTTCAACAATGGTCTCGGCTTCTCTCTCTTCTCAAAAAATTTTTTCAATCTTGAGCTCAACCGATGGCCTCCGATCTCCTTCAGTCGTCGATGTCGCAGCTCTCGTCGTCGCAGCTCCATCTCTGATACCAGTGAAAGAAAACAGTGAAGAGGAAAGAACGAATTTTGAGGGGGGTTCCGCTAATGGGTAAGAGGTTTTTCACTTTCTTTTGTTGTGATTTCTCAAGGAGATTTCTCCTCAATTTATAGGGGCTGAACCCACTAACTCCACCCCCCCAGATCCGCCCCAATGAGAGATTTTCTCTCAACAACCCTTCCACGTTTTCACGTTCCACAATTCTCTCTACTGAGAATTGTTGATTTGGTCATCTTAGACCAGGTCAAGCTAACAACAAGTTAGGCACTAGAAAGAAATCCTAGACGGGTACGCTTAGTAAAAAAAACATCAAAAAAGAGGACCATTTTCGTTGCATATAACTACCAAAGATGCAAAAAGTGTATAACAACCATCATTATTGTTTATTAAGTGAACAATAACCTCTTTATTGTTCATCGGGTGAACAGTAGGCACCAAATTTTTTTTACTTTTATTTAGGTTCTTTTGTAGAGGGTGTTTGATTAGATCTAGAAAACAATAATGCCGAAGTGGTTGTTGAACTCATAGATGAAGTAATGAAAACTTATTAACCTAACAATTGAGAAAGAATAAACACAAACACATGCCTCATGCACATAACTATGGTTTATAATTTCTTTGGAACGTGATGTCTAGCAGAACATTTTTGTTTTATTCCTGCTTATTAAAATTAATTTTTCCACCTTTGATAATTTCCTTCTAAATACATCTTCTGCATTGCTAATCTATGAACCATGCGTACTAAATTCTCCCTAGAGTAGAAAATAGGGCGCCACATAGTGCGAAATAGTGCATAGCGTAACGTAGCGCCGGCTCATCGCTATGTGGCGCTGGAAAATGGCGTAGAAACAAATTAACGTATACTATTTTCTCAATAGTCTATGCTATGTAACGCACCTTGATATCGTTCCCGAGCGTAGGTCAAATAGATCAAGGGCTGGGATTGCTTTCTAAAGGAACTTGATGGTTGCAATTGAGTTTAAGTGGGTGGACCCTGCTTTTCATAAATAAAAATCACAACTTACCCTACCCTTTGTTGCTCACGTTGCTTCCGCCTTTACAAATCAAAGAAGACCTAAATCCTCTTCTTCCTCCGTCTTCTTCTTCATCATCTCCTCCTGCTCACCTCATCAATTCCTCCTGTTCGCCATCTTCGTCGTCATCAAGCAAGTCCCCACAAAACCCCCCACTGACTTCTGAACCCATCAAGGTATGATTTTGACTTCTGATTCAACTTACTCAAGATTGTTCTATATGCTACAATTTCTGAACCCATCAAGGTATGATCTTGACTTCCGATTCAACTTACTCAAGATTGTTCTATATGCTACAATTTCTAGCCAAAAGTATTTAATGCTTTTGCAGTTTATTTTTTATAATTTTAGATTGATAATAAGTGCTCTTTAGGTGATTAATGTTCTTTACTATGATATGTTACCAATTATCATATTGTTAGCACTGTTTTAAAAAGCCTCAGTCTAGTTCGCCTAAGCGTACACCCAGTGTTATCGAGGCGCAAGGCGCAATGCGGGGCGCAAAGGTCCCTTACGCGCACCATGCGCAAGGCGCACAACGAGGCGCGCGCCTCACTTAACTGAGGCGCATAACCCAAACTAATATTTTTCAACATAAGACAGAGAAGCATATAAACAACATTTTTATAAATTATCACATAAAAAGACTAAGAAATATAATTTCACCTACTAAATCAAGAAAGAGTCTTAATTAGCATGCATAACATAAAGAAGTTCATATGTTTTCACAAATCACAATGTAAGATAATATCCAACATGAGCAAAAGTCTACGAAATAAAATAAGCAAGTAGCAAAATATCAAAGTTTCTAGTCATCCTCATCATCATCATCGTCATCCGACTGAAGTGGAATCTCCTCATCCTCAGTTTCCTCCTCTTCTTCATTAAACTCATCTTCATCCTCCGAGTCTGGCTCACTCCTCCTAGATGACGAAGCAATACCACTTGAAGATCCTCGAACCCTAGCAGTAGCAGTAGACCTTAAAGTAGGTCCCCAATTTTCTTCAACTCCAGTTGCTTCACCTACAACACCCCATCTAAGGTCATCCTCCTCATCCACCAAGTCATTTTCCGCATTGTTGCCCTCTCCAAATTGACCTAACAACCACTCGTTGCTTTTATCTATGTCAGTCAACTTGATTGGATCAACAATATCCATGCAGTCAAATCTTTCCTTCAAAGCTTGATTATATTTGCAATATACTAGATCTTGCAACCTATTGTGGTCCAACCTATTCCTCTTCTTGGTGTGTATCTGCAACACATAAAGTCAAATAATCAAAATCGTACTCGAAATCCTTAATTCTTTAAGCATATGTTTATTCAATTAGATGAAATTAAACATACTTGTTCAAAAGTACTCCAGTTTCTTTCACACCCAGAGGAGCTACAAGTGAGACTAAGGATCCTTATAGCAAGTTTCTGCAGAACCGAAGCTGCTGCACCGTAAGAATCCCACCAATCAGCTGTCAAAATACACAAAGTAATCAATACGAGTATATAATATGTTATTAATTTATTTAACTAAAAAGTATGTGTACATAATTAATTGATATATTTTACCTGGAGATTTCTTTTCTCGGTTTCTAATAGCTATAGGCATGCCAAATAGATCTTGTGCTTCTTTGTATAAAGTCAACTCTTGAGAAATTTTATCTTGATCCTGTTGTGGCACAAGCTTTTGAATGACTTCCCAGAGGCCTTTCATGATCTCCATATCGGCTTGAATGTTAGGGTGGGCATAGAAAAAAATTGGATTAAGGTAAAACCCTGCAACATGCAAATGATGATGTAACTAAACATTCCATCTCTTATCAATCATCTTAAATACCTCTGAATATTTGCTTGCATCATCACCAAAGGCTTTTGCAATAGCCTCTTTAGCTCTATCCATAGCCTCATAAATAAACCCCATGGTCGGCTTCCGCTCGTTATCAACAAGCTTCAAAACACGAACAAGAGGACCCGTGAGCTTGAGAACACGAACAACATTATTCCAAAAGTTAGTCATTTTAACTGTCCTCTCCGCCGCTTTGCCCTTTGGATCTCTTGCCCACTTGCTTTCCACCCACTTTTCAGAGCAAAACATCTTCCTTAGATTATTCTTCTGCTTATGGATGCTTGATAAAGTCAAAAATGAAGTGGCAAACCGCGTTGCCGCCGGTCTAAGAAGCTCTCGAGCATTGATTTGATCTCTCATCAACCTCAAAACCCAACCATGTGAATAAATGAAACCCGTCAACTCCATAGCACGACTCAAGGTCATCTTCACGAACGGTAGTTTTCCGATATCCTTAAGCATGAGATTGAGACAATGAGCAGCACACGGTGTCCAATACATATGAGGATATTCATCCATCAAGTATTTACCTAGAACCAATAAACAAACATCTCATTAGTATTCAATCATTCAATTTTAAAGAAATTAGAAAGCACATCAATCAATATCAAAAAAAATTAAATCAAATTTAAAATTCCATACCGGCTAATTTGAGACTAGCATGATTATCCGTCACAATTTGCACAACATTCTCTGACCCTATGATGTTGTAACGCGGGTTTCGACCCTGGCGTTTTACTGTTGATACACGGGGAGGACCTCCGCGTCTTGCCTTTGTCATTGCGTTGCAAAGATCATTGTCTTGTAATCTTCGTCTTGGCTCCTTGAGAATATGAGAGTTGTCAGATTGTAACTCCCGATGTTGATTGTGAAGGCTGTTGAATTAGAGCTTTCATCAGTTGTCGTGAAGGTCGTCAGATTATAACCTTCAGCGATCTATGTGAAAGTCTTCAAATTGTAGTCTTCTGGAAGTCGTCAGATTGTAACTTCCATCATCGGTGTTTGATGGGGATCAGCTATCTATTGTGATTTTTTTGACAGCCTACAGAACCCCCTCCAAAGTTTTCGAAAGTTCGCGGTTGACTGGGACGAATTTTCGGAATACTTTGGATCTCAACTCTGATCTTGGAGCTGTTGATTCCTTGTGGTAAAGGATTTGTTCTCTGCACTTGCTTCGAAGGCATCATGGTTGAAGGGATTTGCCACGTAGGACCTGTGTGAAGGTATGCGCCATAATCCTGCTTCTGAAATGTGGGGGGTGGACCCTGCATTTTGAACTTGAGATGCGGGTCTCACCCTTGCATGTTGAATTTGGAACACAGGTGTGACCTCGGCGTTCGGCTTTTGCATCGCGGGTCTGACCTCGACGTTTTGACTTAAGACATGGAAGTGGCTTCCGTGCATTTTTGGCTCATCTGCTTTAAGTCTCGGCTCGCATCTATTAAGCTGATGTGCCTGCAAACGTGCATAGGATTTTTGGCAAACCCTCAGCCATCAACGAATTTAATAAGCCTTTACCGACTACCGTTTGAGTCGGGCTAGCATGTGGATTGTCTAAGTCCGTTCCACATGTAACGTTGTGCTAAGAGAATGAACCCTCTTAGACTTGGTGCTATGATTTTGAATACATAGACTTTGTCATTATTTCTTCCTGTGTTACTTGAAACACTGAAAGAAAGTTGGAAGCGCCAGAGGTGTACTATTAACTTAGCATGAATTTTCACTTAGAGTGAAATTCAGAAATTTTCCTTATTATCACTAGGATAATTCCAGAAAATATTTAATCCTTGACGAGAGTCGATAAGTGGAAAGTGTTGCGATCGGAGCAACTTTGAGGACCTATCGCTCTATTGAAGAGGGTCGATAAGTTGAAAGTGTTGCGATCGGAGCAACTTTGAGGACCTATCGCTCTATTGAAGAGGGTCGATAAGTTGAAAGTGTTGCGATCGGAGCAACTTTGAGGACCTATCGCTCTATTGACGAGAGTCGATAAGTTGATTTTGTCAGAGGTGTTTGATATTAACGTGACAAGATTGTGTTGTGATTGGAGCAACTTTGTGGACTTATCATCCTATTGGGGAGAGTCGATAAGTGGATTTTGTCAGAGGTGTGATATTAACGTGACAGGAAGGTGTTGCGATCGGAGCAACTTTGAGGACCTATCGCTCTATTGGGGAGAGTCGATAAGTGGATTTTGTCAGAGGTATGATGTTAACGTGACAAGAAGGTGTTGCGATTGGAGCAACTTTGTGGACTTATCATCCGATTGAAGAGGATTGATAAGTGGGTTTTGTCAGAGGTTTAGTATTAACGTGACAAGAGAATGTGTTGCGATTGGAGCAACTTTGTGGACTTATCATCCTATTGAGGAGGATTGATAAGTGGGTTTTGTCAGAGGTTTAGTGTTAACGTAACAAGAGAATGTGTTGCGATTGGAGCAACTTTGTGGACTTATCATCATGTTGAGGAGGATTGATAAGTGGGTTTTGTCAGAGGTTTAGTGTTAACGTGACAAGAGAATGTGTTGCGATTGGAGCAACTTTGTGGACTTATCATCCTATTGAGGAGGATTGATAAGTGGGTTTTGTCAGAGGTATGATGTTAACGTGACAAGATTGTACTTGTGATTTGAACAAGATTTTGGGGACTAGCGTCTCGCTGGGGAGAATTGCTAAGTGAGTTTATTATCAGAAGCGATGAATTTTGATACTAAGATTTTGAAGACTTAGTATCTTGTTGGGGAAGATTGCGATTTGAACGATTTTGAGGACCTATCATCCTATTGAAGAGGATTGATAAGTTAATTATCAGAGGTATATTATTAACGTGACAAATTGGAGCGATGCCAACTGCATTCATACTCTGTGGGGGTGATGATCGTCAGAAGTATAATGTTAACTCGACGATATGAAAGATTCGTTACTCTTAATCCAATGGATTCCAAGTAACCAACCCCCAGTCTTGATTAAGACTTAGCAGGGGAATAAAAAGAGGTAGACAAGGCACATCACTTAGTAGTGGGGCACTATCCATGAAGTCGGAATAGAGGCACATCACCTGGTAGGCCATTATCTGATGAGTTTGACTATCAGAGGTAACTGTTAACGTGATAGTTTTGTGGATCCGCCATCCTACTTGAAGAGGATTGGTGGAGGAATATGGAGGAAAATGACTATCAGAGGTGACGGTTAACGTGATAGTTTTGGTGAGGAAAAGGACTATCAGAGGTGATCATTAACGTGATAGTTTTAGTGGACCCGCCATCCTATTGAAGAGGACTGGCAGGAGAATTTGGAGAAAATGGACTATCAGAGGTGATGATTAACATGATAGTTTTGGTGGACCCGCCATCCTACTTGAAAAGGATTGGCAGATTAATGGACTATCAGAGGCAACTGTTAACGTGATAGTTTTGTGGACCTGTCATCTATTGAAGTGGATTGGCAGATTGATGGACTACCAGAGGTAAATGTTAACGTGATAGTTGTTGGACCTGTCATCCTACTGAAGAGGATTGGCTTCAGTGGTTGTAGTATCTTCCCCTTCTGACTGAGAAGATTGGGCTTGGTCCGATTGCTCAGGTGAAGGTTGGGCTTGGTCCGATTGCTCAGGTTGATCCTGCCTACGATCATGCCTACTTTGTTCTTCAGCTTTGATCCTGGCAATAATCTTTTGAGCCTGTTCGCCTTGAGAGATTAGTTGTCTCCAAGAACGGCATTCTGCAACCCTCATTTGTGCTAGAAGGTTGGTCTGCAAGTTGTGTCGACAGGTCTCTACTAAGGTAGACTGTGTCATACCTGTCGAACACCGGAGAGCCATGGTTCGGAACCTCTTGACGAAGGCTTTGACGGACTCCCTCTTCTTCTGCTTAGTGGCGAGAAGGGTATGGATAGAGACTTCTGTATCCTCTTCAAAGAATCTTGACATGAAGAGTCTCTCTAGATCCGCCCACCTTTGGATACATCCGGCAGGTAGTTTCCTGAACCATTCAAAGGCAACTCCCTTGAGGGTGCCAATGAACATTGGAGCCAGTATGGCGTCGTTTGATATCACATTCCCAGTCTGTGACTTGAAATGATAGATATGCTGGTTCGGTGATCCCGTTCCATCAAAAGTTTGTAGCGTCGGGACTTCGAATTTTGGAGGATAAGGAGCCGCATCCCATTCAGCAGGATAGGGTCTGATAACTCCCTCGTCTTGGAGCTCGCTTCTGTTGGCCATGGCATTGAGGCGGGCTTCCAATTCTTTCATTTTGGCAGAATGGAGATTCTGTTCGTTCTCCGTCTCTCTTCCTTCATCAGAGGAAGATTCTAGGTTGTGGGCTTCTTGGTCAGAAGCCGTGTCATCAACCACTTTTCCCTTCCCTTTGCTTGTGTGAGGTCGGGATGAAGACGTTTTTCCTCTCCGGGAGGATTCTTGCCTGGGTGGCGAATCTGTCTTCTGAGATTTGGCCTTGTCTGTGACAATTTGAGTCAACAGGGCCATGAGTTCATTGATGGCCTCTTGCTGAGATTTGAGCATGGCCTCCTGCTCATCGAGTCTCTTCACGAGATCTTCATGGCTTTCTATCATATAGGCGGAGCTCTCATGTTCAACAAAAGAGCTTGATGATTGGGACTCTGCAATGGCTGAGTGTTCATCATCGGAATTGGTTCCTCTGGCTAACCTCCGATAATTGACAGGGAGAATGGTTCCTGTTCGCGTTCGAGTGCGTTGGTAGACTCCTTCAAACTCGTTAGCGATTTCTCTGACGGTCGGCGAACGACTTGTCTCAGAGTCATCGGAACTAGGACCTGAGGCTTTCCCTCTGGCGATCACATTGATAGTGACCTCAGGATATTCGGTCTCTGGAGACTTCTTCCTGTGAGAACATCGTCGTTGGTTGGGCAAAGCAACATTCGTAAATTGGTCGAACACCAATAGTTTGGCCACATATGAGCAGCATTGATATTCCGAGAGGACCGTAGGAATGACTTGTTGCATCGGTCTTTCTCTTGATATGAACTCTCTCAAGTCTGTTGTAAGGACTAGAGAATTACTCACTGATCGTGAGGTTTGAATTGGAACCCCCAGCCCATGATTGGACAAGACTGGCTCTTGGTGAACATGGATCTGGTTGAGATGCCTTGAATCCATGGACTTTTGATATCCGCCCCTCAATCTAGTCGCGCTACGCAGAGTGTTCGGGGGTCTCGCTGCCCGGTCAGCGAGCCGGGGGTCCAGGGGGCGGCGCGGGGGGATGGTATACCCCCCGGCGGGGTTCGGGGCAGCGCCCCGAAGCTCCACGGAGAAGGCCAGGTTCCATATTGAATTTCGTCACCCGAACGCATGCCTGAGCTCCAGGTGTTGCTGGTGAAACGCAGATTTGAGAGTTGTGTTTATTTTGTGGAACGCACCCCTGAGGGTTGCGTTCATTTTGTGGAACGCGCTCCTGAGGGTTGCGCTCAGTCTTCTTCACACAGAGCTTATGTTTGGGCTCATAGACGCGAGACTTGCATTCTGAAACAGAAACGCAGAGCGCATGGTTGCGTTTAGGCTTACGAACGCGAGGCTCGCGTTGGTTGGAGGATCGATTTTCTCGAAGTTGTACTTGTCGCATTCTCGGAGATGTGCTCGTCGTAAGGATCTCCTCCTCCGTCGAGCGACGTTCTTCTTAAAACGTTGCTTTGGCACGAACGCAGAGCCTTCAACTCGGTGGACGAGTTTGGCCGAAGCTGAGCTCACTCCTTCGGAGGAGGGGCTGTCCAAGCAATCTGGCCCAAAGGAGAGGTCTTCCTTCGGCATAGGAGCAACAGTTGGATCTTTAGTCTCTTTGGAGGCTTTGTGGACCTTGCGCATAGCCTTGGGGCTAAGGGATCTGGAGGAGAGGGCCTCCTCAAACTTGGCTTGATCAAACTCTACCACGAGAGTTTCGACAGTTGTTCCAGTGAGATGAACATCGAATTGCGCCACCACTTCTTCGTCACAGAAGCTCTTCCCTAGCGGAGTCGCCATCTTTTGTTTGTAGGAAATTTTGCAGTAAAAAGACAATGAAGGAAAATTGATTTGTATTCCTTTAATCTCAGTTACAATTGGATTTCCGATTACAAAAGAGAAGAGAATGAATTTGATTCTCTCCTTTGTTTAATTCTGGGTTCTTCACGGTGGCGATGAGATGCCTCCCTCGAATGCTCGCGTCGAGTTTGCTTCTCGTTGACGATCCTGGCAAGTTTAAAACTCTTGATGAGTTGATAACTCTGATCGAGTTTAGAACTCTTGAAAAAGAGTTGATTTGAACCGAGAATCGGTTCTCAAGCCAAGGATGAAGAAGCTCTTGTTGCAGATCTCCCAAGCTCCAGAAATGCTCTAAGGATCCTGTTGACTAGCCAAGAAGTTCCAACAAACCGACCCTGAAAGATCCAGCCCTGATCTGATTATCAAAAATCCGATCCTTAACTCTGTTGAGTTTGTTGTTATTTATAGGGGATTAAGGGGTGTAACCACCTCCTTAATTCGCTCCTAAGTGGGGCTAATGGGATGTAACCGCCCCCTTAAATCACTCCTGAGTGGAGTTGTGATCCCCTCAGATCGTGGGAAACGGTTTTGGAACCGTTTAGCTCGTGTTTGAACGAGTTAAACGCAGGCCCGCGTTCTGACGCAGTGTCTGGAAGCTTGAACGCATCGTCTGGAAGCTCGGACGCAGCAATTAGAAGCTGCGTTTGCAGCTTGAACGCATCGTCTGGAAGCTCGGACGCAGCAATTAGAAGCTGCGTTTGCAGCGTTGGAATCTACGCCTGAGCTGCGTTTGCAGCGATTTGGAAGCTGCGTCTGAGCTGCGTTTAGAGCTGCGTTGGGCAGCGGTTCTGAGCTGCGTTTGCAGCGATTTGGAAGCTGCGTCTGAGCTGCGTTTAGAGCTGCGTTGGGCAGCGGTTTGAGCAGCGATTTGAACTGCGTTCAACGTCGGTTGGAGCTGCGTCAGGCAGCGGTTGAAGCTGCGTTCAGCGGCTGATTTGAGCTGCGTTCGTGGCTATGAACATGGTGCGTCTTGATGTTGGTTCGCGGGGAGGACTTCCACGTCTTGGTTTGAAGAGACCGTCGATTTGTAGTCTCTTTCTATCGAAGTTTTGCAAAGATCGTCATTTTGTAATCTTTACTTTAGCTCTTTGATATGCAAGAGTCGTCAGATTGTAACTCTCGATGTTGGTTATGAAGGCTGTTTGATTAGAGATTCCATCAGTTGTCGTGAAGATCGTCAGATTGTAACCTTCAGCGATCTACGTGAAAGTCTTCAAATTGTAGCCTTCTGGAAGTCGTCAAATTGTAACTTCCATCATCGGTGTTTGATGGGGATCAGCTATCTATTGTGATTTTTAGACAGCCTACACTTTGCCCTTTGGATCTCTTGCCCACTTGCTTTCCACCCACTTTTCGGAGCAAAACATCTTCCTTAGATTATTCTTCTGCTTATGGATGATTGATAAAGTCAAAAATGAAGTGGCAAACCGCGTTGCCGCCGGTCTAAGAAGCTCTCGAGCATTGATTTGATCTCTCATCAACCTCAAAATCCAACCATGTGAATAAATGAAACCCGTCAACTCCATAGCACGACTCAAGGTCATCTTCACGAATGGTAGTTTTCCGATATCCTTAAGTATGAGATTGAGACAATGAGCAGCACACGGTGTCCAGTACATATGAGGATATTCATCCATCAAGTATTTACCTAGAACCAATAAACAAACATCTCATTAGTATTCAATCATTCAATTTTAAAGAAATGAGAAAGCACATCAATCAATATCAAATAAATTAAATCAAATCTAAAATTCCATACCGGCTAATTTGAGACTAGCATGATTATCTGTCACAATTTGCACAACATTCTCTGGCCCTATCTTCTTAATCTCCTCATTTAAGATCTCAAACATCCTCGCACCAGTCTTGATCTCATCGGAAGCATCAATAGAGGAAAGAAATATTGTTCCGTGAGGAGAGTTCACAAGAAAATTTATCAAAGTCCTTTCCTTCCGATCAGTCCAACCATCCGACATAAAAGAGCATCCTTTTTTGGCCCAAACCTCCTTATGAGGTTGCATGAGATCTTCAGTGTACTTCTTCTCCTTCTTAAGCAATGACTCTCGTAATTGATGGAATGTTGAAGGTGACAAGTTAGGCCCAAAAGCCCCTACTGACTTCAACATAATTCTAAAGGACCTAAGTTGTACGGCATTAAAAGAAATTCCCGCTTGATACCACCAACGGGCAATATCTTGATGCACTTTAGCAACTGCATCTTTGTTGAGTCCTTCTTCAATGCTTGTTTGCCGTAATTTTCGCCTTCTATCATCTTTGGCTACCTCCAGTTCTGGGTCAAATGAGAGAAATGAATCCATAGGCCCCTTCCTCTTTGTTGAAGATCCCACACTTCCCCTTCCTCTTGTAGATAAGGAAGATGATTTAGAAGTAGAAGTCAATTGCTCCTTTCTCTTGTTCCTAGTTGCTTGTGCTTGTTCTTCAACCTCGTCAACTTCATCTATTTCAACCATGTCATCATCTTCAAGATCCGGCATGTAATTTTCCACTGCTTGTTGTCTTCTAATAATTGCTTGTTTTTTGTCATATTCCTTAAGCTTATCAACCACATTCGAAGGAACTTTATTGCAAAGGGAAACATTTTTACGTTTCCTCGTCGTTCCAATAAGATGCTCCTTTTGCCTTGATATGCCGTCATTGGTGATCTTATTACAATAAATGCACTTGTGCTTGTTGGAATTCCCTTCCTCAACAAGAGAAGTGTACTTCCAAGTCGAATCTTGTCTTCTACCACAATTCGCACTCGCCGATGCCGATGAAGACATATTCAAGTTTATTAGTCACCTACACCCAAAATTATGAGAATATCAACTTAAATTATCAAATTATGCTAACTAAAATTTTCAAGTAACAAATAAGATACAAGAAATATGTGTTTTAATTAAAAATGAAATATGTTTTTTAAGTAACAAACTAACAATTAAGTGATTAACAATTAAATATTTACACGTTCATAATTTATTAGTTAGCATGCTAATTACCTATTTTAAGCTCTTTTTTCTAATTATACTAATTACTAAGTTGTTATTGCTCATTGACTTTGTTTTTCTTTTTTACAGATTATACTTGAGTTAAGTAGCAACGAGTAAGGATGAAGAATCAATCAAATTTTCCAACACAGCTACCAAAATAAATATCCATAATTCATTCATTGAATATGTAATTTGTATATTCATTTTGTATATTTGTATTCCTATTTTCTAATGAGATCTTCATATGTAAATGTATATATAACAGTTCATTGAACAACAACAATTAAAGGGAAAAAACTAAAAAAAATAAGAAAATTAAAGAAAAAAACAGAAAAATAATTCTCAAATTAAAGGAAAAACTATTTTAAGCTCTTTTTTGTAATTATGAAAAACTGAAAATAAACAATAGTTACTTCATATAAATTATTTTCAAAAAGAAGAAAAAAGAAAAGATAAAAGATAAAAAGAAAAGAGAGAATCTGTGGCGGGTCTGGAAAATAAAAAAGAAGAGAATTGGTGGAAAAAGAAAAAAGAAAAACGAAAAGAAAAAACAAAAGAGAAAAACTAAAAATAAAAACTAACGTGCTGTTAGTGAGCGGCGGTCTTCCCAGCGGTGTCGGCGGGAAGTTCGGCGGAGGTTGTTGGGCAGCAGCGTCCTGACGGAGGTGTTGGCAGTCAGCGTCGACGGCGTCGGAGGGGGTCGGGCGGTGGAGTCGGCTCGGCTGGCAGGCAAAGAGAGCGAGGGAGAGTGAGTCGGCTGCAGGGAAACCACGTTTGGGAGAAAAAGAAGAGAATTGAAACCCTAAAAAAATTGGGTTTAAGTGAATATGCGTCTGTAACCCAAACCCGCTTCAATTGTAAGCCATAACCCGCTTACAACCAACCAAACCCATCTCACTGCCCCATCAAACTGGGCGTAGTGAGGTGCTGCGCGCCGACGGGGCACCATGCGGCATCGAAGGCGTGCCCCAGGTCGCGGCGCACTCAGCAACGCTCGCCACGCCCCGTACTGGTGCGGGGTCGGCGTTGGATGGCAGCGTGCAGCGTCCTGGGGCGCGCCCCAGGCGATCGCCTTAATAAGCCTGCTCGCCACCGCCAGTCCCCTCCTCCGCCGCCGTCGGTCCTTCTCCCGCCGACCATCAGGTAAATTTTTTTAATTAGTTAACCTGTAAATTATTTTTAAAATTAGTTAACCTATAAATTGTTTTTTAATTAGTTAACTTATTTACTGTTTTAGGTAAAATTTTCACTTACAAACTGTTTTTTAAATTTAAATAGTTAACCTTGTTCAATTTAGTTTAATTAATTAGTTTATTAATTAAATTAAGTTAATTATAGTTTAATCTTGTTCAATTTTAGTTAATTGTACTTAATTTTTGTTTAATCTAGTTCAATTTTAATTATTATAGTTTAATCTTGTTCAATTTGGGTTAATTTTAGATGATTGTAGTTAATTTTACTTTAATTTTGTTTAATTTTAGTTTTATCTTGTTCAATTTTATTCAATTCTTTTTTGCAATTTTATAAGAATTTAATACATTTTTGTGAATTATTGTAATTAAATAAATTTAAAAATAGGCAAACACCTAGGAGTACACCCAGGCGCCTAGGCCCCGGTTCGGACGCCTAGTCCGCCTAGCGCCTTTTGTAGCATTGATCATGAAGGCTCTGATACCACGTAGAAAAATAAAAAAAATCAAAGATTATTATTCATCTAACACAAACATTTCTTAAATATAGATTAGGATGATATTACAAAATAGGTATGAGATAAAATCATATTTAATCACATTTCACAATATCTTATAATATCCTATAATATCTGCTAGATCTAAATACAAATAATATCTAACAATACAATACATAGTTTAATCTAAAACACTCGCTGTACACTTCTCAGACATAAATCCTACACTTTCCTACGCATCCACTTTGGGAATTTATCGAACAAGGGCCAGGTTCGTTTTCAGCCCATGTGCAGTTAAAAACTATGTTTATGGGGGTTGTCTACGTATTTAACTCGGAGGTATGATTTCAGCCCATATATTTCAGCCGTGTCCCCGTACTCTACCTTTTACAAGTTTGTTGTGTTCGCAGCCATGCAACTTAGCCAACCATAAACAAATTGGTTGTCAGCGGTCGCCAGATTAATATTAGTCAGTCTACTCCAGATTAAGATTAGTCAATCTAAGTTAACACCCAAATTTGAGAAGGAAAAAAAATAGAGTATCTTATGATATCCAACATCACAAGTAGGCATATCATCAGGCAGCCTCCTCATCTAATGGGCTTGACCACTTACTGATGCTAATCATGTCAGAGATTGAAGTCAGGAAACATTTAACTCAACATACTAAAGAAGTTAACCTGATAAACAAAAAGACAAAATCACTGGAGGCTCTTAAAGAACATAAGGTTTGGTGACAGCATGCTGGACTGGGTTCAACTTCAAGCTATATCAATTTCTAGCATGAGACACACAGGTACATCTCAAACCCAACCCATGTTTTAAATGAGTTAAGCAGGTATACCAGACCTACACACCTTTATATTAGGGTTTTTTATAAGATAATCTAACATTACAGAATAAAAATATTTAACTCTAGTAAAGAAGTCTTCTTGCATTGCATGCAGTAACCAGTTCTCCAATTCTTTGCTCGTATAGAAAGCTAAGATACAGCGTCAGATAGAGGTCTAACCTCATGAATCATTCAAAGAACAATTTTTCTAAACAGACCCATTTCAAATTTTTTTTTTTAAACCGACTTTTTTTTTATTTACCAAAACCGACCCGATTTTGTGATTAGCAGACTAATCACCTTCCTAAATAGTCGGGGTTGGCAACCCCGACTATTTAGGACGGTGTTAAACCCTAATTAGAAGCCTTAAACACTAAAAATTAATGTCCTAAACAGTCGGGGTTGCCAACCCCGACTATTTAGGAAGGTGATTAGTCTGCTAATCACAAAATCAGGTCGGTTTTGGTAAATAAAAATAAAAGAGTCGGTTTTAAAAAAAAAAATTTGAAATGGGTCTGTTTAGAAAAATTGTTCATCATTCAAATGAAGGTGCACATTGCAGCCAAAGAGTAAAAATGGTAGGATAAAATTTTTATAGCATTCCGTCAAGATCTGACCAAGTAATATATAGAGCACATAAGAAATAAAATGCATAGTCCCCACCTCACGCACAAGAGGTCTGATTGAAACCATATACTTGACGAGTTCATATGGTGAAGGAACTGGAGCTAACCCTGAAGCAGACAATTTGAAAAATCTTTGGGGTGCATTTCAGGGCCAACAAAAGGACATGCAGAAATCCATGGTAGCTTACATTAAAATATAAAATGGCATGAAGTCATCAGAGGTGGTTTAGACGTACGAAACATGTAAATTGAGCAAAGATCAACTAGTGTGCCGGACGTGTGATCAATGTTGGGGAGCTAAAACCGGAGGAACAAATAAACACTGAGGTCATGCAAAACAAAAGGAGAAGAAAAAGAAAGACCGATTCATTTGCTAATTCAAAAAAGAAGATGCTCTTATCAAAGCTGAGTGGAGAAAAATAAAAGAATTCATGCAGCTAACCCAAAATTTCAGGAAGAAGTTTTGTTGCTCTCGTAGATGAAAAACCTGGTATCCTTTGTGTAGAGATTCCTTAAGCACAACATGATACTATGAATAAGGATCATGAAAGGACATCATTTGGCAAACCATCAGATGTGGAATATGATGTTGAAAAATAAAGAGATTGGAAACAAGCAGCATTCTGCCATCAGGGTAAACCACTTTTTTTTCCTAATCTCACACTCTTGAATAGGTTGGTTTCTAGATCAAATTAAGGGAACAGCTGCGCATAGCCAAAACATTGGTACGTTAGAAAAATGAATCTTCAATGTTCTTGCTCAAGTCTTGTATTGATGCTGAATCACAGACCTCTACCATGTTTGTGGGAAAATGCTCCACACTTGAGAAATATTCCAAGGATGTAACTTGCTCAAGTCTTGTACCTAATCAAAGTGACAATGAGTGTAATCGACCAAGTATATACTTCCCATAGACTCATACCAAAATGTGGCAGAGGCATCTGTCAGTGATCACCAACCCAATCCATGGATTTGTCATTGCCAAAACAATGCATTATGCACACCTTGATTTCACCACCTTAAACAACTAAGAACGGTCATACTGGAGTTAGAAATGTTGTTTACAGCTTTAGGTTTTCACTCATTAGCAGAATCATTCTTCTACTTTAAAGATATACACTTGTATTCACTTTGGGGCATTGACATTGTCTTCTTCATTCTTTCTTTCATTTCTTGGTGAGTTAGGTAGTCATGATAAATTTCAGTCCATACAAGCAATCTCTTAAGTCTTCCCAGATATCTTAACCGTTAAGCCAAAGTTAATGGTCCCATACGCTGGGTCAAAAAAAAAGTAAATACCATAACTTTGGATCATTGACACTTCTTCCATGAAGTTGTCATGTGGGATACATGTTGGACACTCCATGGGCATGATGCGTCGAAGCATTCTTAAACATGTTGTCAATTTTATAATATTCTTTCTTCTATGTCGGACACTTCTCATCCACATCTTAGAAAAGTCTATAATGTGCCAAATACCCATAGATGATGATATGAATTTCCTTTCATCTATAAGTCAATATCATATTTTAATGATATGAAACAGCATTAGGAATATACAAAGACAAGACAGGTTACAGCTCTAAAGATGGATGAAGAGCCAAAGTGTATGCAAACAGTAACTTTGTCCATTATTACAAATCTGAAGGAATTATTCGTCAAATACTACCATTTTTATTAATTTTCTAAACAGCTTACATTTCTCATACTTATTTGAATGAAGAAACAAAAGGAATCGTGCGGCGCCACCCAATTTTAATGCATTGTAGATCCAGTTTCCTATAAGCCCCATCTAGAAGTCAAGAGAATGACGCACTGAAAGAATTAAAGCCACTATGTGGACCATGTATGGTTAGAAGGCAAAAAATAAGGCAAGTTCCTTCATATGTTATTAAAACAGAATCTTGTTTTCCTGTCCAGAGCAATTTACAACTGCAAGTTATGCGTGAATAGCAGTTGAAGATTGGAATAGTCATACTAAAACTGAAACACACCACCACCAAATTGTTGGCACCATACTGGGCTTACAAGCTTCAACCACTACTATGGGCATCATTCAAACACGAAACAAATATTGATTTGTCAGCTTGCTCTTTCTACCGCAATATGTAGGCTTTCAAGCGAAATATGACGCTTGGATGTTCAAACAACTATAGCTTCTGATCTATTCTTTATAGTTAGAGATAACATGGAACAGCGTCAGTGATCCATAGATAGGCCCAAATTTGATCTTTTTGAAATCTTAAACAAAATCTCAAATGAACACATGTTCCCAAGAATGCAGGATATGATCTACTGTATAGGAGAATCTACAGTGGCAACAAGTTTCATGTCCTAAAACATCAATGCATAATCAACCATGAGAGATCTTTCTCCATGCATTGGAAGTTTTCGCAAAAACAACTTTTAAGAATTTCCTAGCCTAAAATCCCAAAGCTTTTAAGAGTTACAGGTCCTAAAAATCCCTCTTTTCTCTCAAATAAAGTTTAACAAGCTCCCACTAAACATCAAAAACCCCATTTTCAAAAGCACTACAAAACATGATCGAATTTTTAAGACCCAAGTGTCAAGATTCTCAACCAAGCAAACAAATAAACAAATAATAAGATTCCGCATCTCACATTAACTAAAAATTACCACCAAATCAAACGATTCTCTCCTCACACAACAAGACAAGGTGAACAAACTCTAAACAAACAAAACCAAAATCAAAAGCAATTCACTCACCTGAACAAATTAATAACTAAAATGTCCCCGAGGGAAAAAAATCTCAGAAGTATCATTTACATGCGGCATACTGCATACACCCTTCATGTTCTAAACTAATTAATATAAGGCAATAAGGGAGATTAGAACACACCATGTTCTGAACTCACTTGATGAATATGAAAACAGATTGAGATGTAATCCAAAATACACAATGAAAGTTAGCCAAGTCATTATGAAGACAATACTCAAAAAGCATACATCATAAATTTCCATTCTCCATGATCATCTCTTGCTTGAAGCCTGCATCAATAGGCACTGCTAGCTTGAAAAGGTACAACAATGCAGCTTGCACATTTCAAGGTATCAACTAATAATCAAGAAAACTAACGAAATCTACTTCTTTAGTGATGGAACAAAACTGAACTAGTTAATATAAAGCAAAAATAATAGAAAAGATCAAAGATCAAAACCTGCAGATGAGTGAAAAAAAAATAAGTCTGTAATCAGCTTCTCTGCTCAACCAACCATCAAAAATACCAAGGCAGATAACACGCGATCCTTGCTCCTTTCCAGATCTATGTCCTCGGCGTCTTCGGTTTGCTCTTCTTCGTTCCAGCAGAACCCTCCACCTTCTTCTTCTTTATCCTCTTCTCAGTCAATTCATTGACTACGTTCCCCTCTTCGACATCTTCATCACCCAAATCTTTCACTTCCTTTGCTTTACCACCCTTCCTTGCCTTACTCTTCGTCCCCATTTCATCGTTCAAGGCCACGCCAACATCATCTCTCATTTTCTTTAGTTTCCTCTCCTTCGTTCCCTCTGATGCTACAATAGAATCCACTTCCATCTTCTTCTTCTCATTCGACTTAACCTTATTCTCACTCAATTGATTGTCAGCATGCCTCTCTTCACCACCATTCAGCAAAGCACTACCCTCCTCATCTTCAGTCACCACTAATCGGTCGCCTTTAATCTCCGACCCCTTCTTCCCTCTCTTCTTATCCTCGCCCTTCTTCAGCTTCTTCTTCGGCCTTTTCTCAACACCCACATCTTCATCAGTATTCCCCTTCTTCTCCTTCTTCTCCTCCTCTCTCTTCCTCTTCTTCTCCCCTTCCTTCTCATCCCAAACCCCCTCAATCTTCATCCCAATCTCCGGAACCTTCTGATAAACCGGCAAAGCCACCGAATCCGCCGTCTTAACGTGCACCGACCTCAAATTCTTCCACCTCCTCGGCACAACCTCCATCGCCCCTTCAACCGCGGCCATCACATTCTCCACAATCTCATCCAAACTCTGATTCACCCTCCCAATCTTCAACCCACTACAGCTCCCAGACCTCAAATACAACAAGCTCGAACCACACCAGCTCTTAATTTGCTCAACCCAGCCAGCCCTACTAAAATCCACGGCCAAAGGAGTCTTCTTTCGTTTAAAAAAGTGCTTGCCCAATAGCCTCGGCAGCAAAGGCAGGACCTTTCGGTCGGAGAAGAAGAGGTCGTAGGAATCGCAGAGCTTGCGGCGGGACTCAAAGGGTTTGTAATCGGATTGGAGCTCCGACAACCCGATAACGGAGGAGATCGGCAGGCTTAGGGCTTACGATTTGGGCCGAGGGCGGCCGCGGGGAGGAGAGGGATGATGGGGCTGTCGTCGAGGATGATGCAGATGGAGGTGGATTGAGGGTTGAACGGGTGGAGAGGGTGGGGGATTGGGATCCGATAAGGGTTTGTGCGCGCTTTGCTTGGGGTTTTGGCGAGGGCCAGGATTAGGTAGAGGAGGTCGTCGTGTTCGAAGAGCTGGGCTTTTTGGTGGCTGGATTGGGATTTGATCCGTTTGAGGAGGGCGGCGATGGCGTTTGAGAGCGATGAGCGGGCGATTGGATTGGGGGTAGGGTTACGGTTCGGAGAAGAGGAAGACGCCATTGAAAGAGAAAAGAGAGTTTAATAATTAATTAGTTTATTATTTTTTGCTCAGATACTTGCCACACAAAAATAACCTCTCCTCACGAACCGCAACCCTTGATATATCTGGGTAAAGAGTCGGATCGGGTAAACGCAAACCTTTATCCTCTTCATCCAACCCAACGGTGACGGCGGATCCCTTAGCGGTCGGTTCCAGCGACAACCCCTCTACCCGAATCCGGTAGCCAACTTCTCCTTCCCTCCACCAAAGTAAGTCCTCAAATTCTTCCTCTCTTTCTCTCGAACCCCTCCCCTCTTCTTTCTTCTCAAAACCCTAGATTCTCAAAACTTTTTAGGGTTTAAGCTATTTTTTGCCGTTCTTGATAAACTCTAGGGTTTAAAGCTGTTTGTTCATGAAATCAAGAATTAAAACTTGGATTCCACGCCGATTTATCATTCTTAGCAAATAAATTTTCATTTTTTTTATGGCAATTGGTTGATTTTTATGCTTGGTATTTCTTGAATTATTTTTAAAAAAACCAATCTAAAACTGTCAATATTGCTGGAAAATCCTGGGATTCAATGCTGGTTGCTCATAAAATATAAAATTTCGTTCTTGATAATAATAATTGCTTCTGTCAAGGCAGTTGGTTAGTTTTGCTAGGTTTTGCTTGAATTGTTCTACACACAACATGACTGAAGCTGTCAGCATGGATGGAAACTGTATCTGTTTGTTTCTTTTCAAAATCATAGTGTTTACCGCTGGTGTTGCTCCTAAAATTAACAATAAAGATCGCTTTTTTCTTAGCTTAACACTTGGATTCAACACTGGTTTATCTTTCTTGACAATAATAACCTCTTTTTTATGCAAGTTGTTTGATGTCTCGCTAGGTTTTGCTTGAATTATTCTGGAAATATCATGACCGAAACTGTCAGTATGGATGCAAAGGGCACTGACAATGCAATTGCAATCCAAATGGGCGGTAATGAGCGGGCCTCAAGAAGAAGATTGAGATCTTTAGTCTGGAATGATTTCACAAAAGAACGGAAAGCCGATGGAAATTTTGTAGCAATCTGTAACCATTGCAAGAAAGAGCTTTCAGCTAGCAGCCGAAGTGGCACTACCCACCCACTTAAAGAACCACCTTGCGACTTGTACCAACACAAAAGTTCGAAAGAGGAAGAAATTGCTTTTTAGGAGATTAGTTGTGAGAAATGATGGGTCAAGTATGGATCTATCTCATTTTGATCAGGAATTGAGTAGACAGGATCTTGCCCGTATGGTGATCTTGCATTGGTATCCTTCTACTATAGTTCATCATGTCGGGTTCAAGGCATTTGTTAAGAATCTTCAGCCACAGTTCAAGTTGACATCTGATGAATGATGATGTTGTTAGGGCTGACTGTATGAATATTTATGAGAGTGGGAAAGTTAAGTTGAGGGAATTGCTTGGGAGACTTCCTTGTAGAGTTAGCCTCAGCGTCGATATGTGGAGATCAAGTGAAGATGTTGAGTATGTGTGTTTGTCTTGCCATTATGTTGATGATGATTGGAAGCTTAAGAAGAAGATTCTGAACTTTTTGCAAGTTGAAAGTCAGACTGCAGGTGAGGAGATGAGTAAGATTGTTGCTGAGAAGTTGCTTGATTGGAATTTACATGGAAAGTTGTTTAGTGTTATTTTGGATAATTGTAATGAGAATGATACTGTGGCCAAAGATCTTCGTGAATTCATTCTGTTGAAGGGGGCTTTCCCTTTAAATGGCGAGTTTTTCCATGTGCAGACTGCTGCATCGATTTTGTATGCAACTGCACAAGATGTTACGGGGTTTTTGCATGATATAATAAGTGAAGTTCGGGATAGTGTGCAATATGTGAGGACTTCACAAGCTACACTCCACGGGGTTCCAGATTGCAGCAGGTAAAGTTGGAGCCCCACAAAAAGCATTAGTTTGCGATGATCAGAATAACTGGATAACAACATACTTGATGCTTGAAGCTGCATGTGAGTTTCAAGGTGCCGTCACTTGTTTTGCTGAAAGTGATAGTGACTACACAATTTCGTTATCTTCTGAGGAGTGGGATCTTGTTAAAGCTGTTACTGAGTGCTTATATGTGTTCTATCATGCCATAGAGAAATTTTCTGGGGCAAAAATTCCAACATCAAACCTTTATTTCAATGATATATGTGGTATCCATATGCTGCTAAAAACTTGGAAAGTCAGTGAATTTCCTGCTATTTCAGCGATGGCTACTCAAGTTCTTGAGAAATTTGAAAAGAGCTGGGTGGCAACATTACTTCTTTTGTCAATTTCTTCAATTCTTGATCCTCGATATAAAATAAAGTCAATTGAGTATTTTTTCAATAAGATTTACGATGATGAGCATAAAGCTAATGAGAGGATTGAAAAGATCAGGCAATATCTAGGGAAGCTCCATGATGAATATGTGGAGCATTCAAATAACATGTCCAATACCCAAGCATTTCTTTGCTACGATGAAAATAATAAGAGTGGTTGCAGTGCTGAACTGAAAGCTGGTACAGAATCTAAGCCTTCTTCCCGCACGTTATTTGATGCACGGCGGGGACTTGATCAATATCTTCAAGAGACCTCATCAAGTCAACAGCATAAATCAGATCTGGAGTTGTATTTGGATGAAGCTGTTTATCCATGCAAAGGGTCTGAGGACAACTTCAACATCTTAGCTTGGTGGAAATTTCATGCAGCAAAATATCCTGTTCTTTCAATAATGGCTCGTGATATTTTGGGGATTCCTTTATCAGTTGTTGCAATAGACAGTGAAAGTAGAGTGCTCATAATGGCTCGTGATATTTTGGGGATTCCTTTATCAGTTGTTGCAATAGACAGTGAAAGTAGAGTGCTCAATCAGTACTTGAGTTCCCTTGACCCAGTGACTGTCCAAGGACTGATCTGTGGACAGGATTGGCTAAGAGAAGAATTTGACGGTAAATCGATGTTTAGATTTGACTTTATAGCTTATTTTTATTTTATTTTTTTCTTTCATAATTTTTTTGCTAACTTTACTATGGTTTTCTAGTTCAAGTAGAACCTCCAATAGCCGTAGATGATGTCGCCATTGTTCCGTTACCTGCTAAAATTGAACATGACGTTGATGAGTGCATGATACTGGCAAATGGAGATGAATTCTCCCACCACCAATAGGTAAGTCACTGTGTTGAGAACATATTTAGCTCTATTTGCATCAATACTTCTTTTCACTGAGTCTATATTGTATGAATATTTTGTTCAGAGATTAGTTTTTAGTGACAGCCACTTGGGCATTCCTTGTTATTTAGATATGTGCAAAACACAAGTACACATGCGCAGGTTACAGAGATTTTCCATCTAGTTCGTTATGCATGTGTTCCCTGCAACTTCTGGTGCTTGTTTTCTTTCCACTGTCCATTTTACTGGTTGTATTTGTAAATGAGTACATGCAGAGCCATTCAAACATTACTTTATTATAAATGAAGTTTGAGAACAATTCTGTGTTAAGGCCTAGGGCATTGAGACTCCACTTGAATTCCATAGAACACTACCCATTTCCGGGTGGTCAAAGACCCTTTTTTGACAATGTGTGACATTATTTTTGTTTTTATTCTTGTTATTTACTGTTTAGTTGTATGAAGATATTGTATGGACAATGGTCTGGTTTAGATAACCCTTTTTTGGGATAATTTATTTCCTCCCTTTTAATGGATGTGGATCTCAAGCTACTCTTGATGGTTTTCTTTAGCTGTCCTGTCTGAGCTATGCAATTAGAAGGTGACTTTAATAACTCATTGTGCCATGACTTCTTGATTAGTATTGATTTCTGCAACTTCTAAGCACCTGTTTCGTTGTTTCTCTTCCAATAGAAGAACTACAGGATAAGCTCTTCTAATTAGTTAATTGGGAGCATGTTGAAACTTGTGGCCTTATTTTTCTCATGCAAATGCCTTGATCAAGTGTAGTCAACTACCTCTTTAGTGACACATCATATTGTAGATTTTCAACTGTCATTATGATTCAAGCGCTTATAAATTCTTCGACACTTGCAGACAGTTGACTGTTAGAAAAAGCAGCATGCATGTCAGTCTCCTAACATGTGGAATGTGGCACCACTTAAACATACTATATACGAACACCACATCATTTTATCATGGCTTGCATTTCTGACATAGATAATTGGTTTATGACAAGATGTAACAGCATGATCTGGACATTTTGGTCATTTTGTTGAGAACCTTGAAGGAAAAGCATGGGTTGTAGTATCCGCAGAATGTGGAAGGAAAGCATCAATTTCATGATCACATGGATAGTATATAAAGTTTGCCTCACACTTTAATACCATTAATTCAGTTAGTACAAATTGATTGATATTTTATACCATATTGTGACGCTTCTGTTTTCACACATGACTGCAGTCCAAGGTGAACCCAGAGATGTCAAATCTGCCATGCACCCACATTATGCAATAACATATTTCACCAATCACAGTAATATCCTCTAGCGGAATCAAAAATAAATGCAGGTACAACGCAGGCAAATAAGGAAGTTAAGTACAATAGACATGATGAAGAAATGTAAATCTCATAAATAAAATCATGTCTCAACTGAATAATCTGGAGTACAACTGATGACTGAAATAATGTAAAACTGTCTCAGCATGAATCAAATGAAAATCGTACTAAGACACAGCCTTTACAATATGAATACATAACTAATGTCTGAAATGAAAACTCATACTACAGTGGAGTCTCTATTAATAAATCATGTGACGGGGACTATGCAAGAACTCTGTCATCTTGCGGCTCTCCGAAACTTTGAGTTGCCTGAAAGAGAATTTAAAACAAAAAGAATAACAAGAGCGTCAGAGTGCTATAGCAAGATCACCTCCATCCGTCCCAGGGGAAGGACTGCTAGATGAAGTGGATATTCTATCTATTAAGTATAGTCTATCTAAATCATTTTTGTCATGTTTAATGGAATTAATATTTAGAAATCTACAACCAGAGACGTAGTACGTCGAGCGAAATAACCCAAATAAAGGAACTATCATGTATATACCATATGTTTCAAACTGTAGATAACTAAATATTAATCCATGTTTAAGAATGAACGTAAGCAATACAGGAAATAAAGACATCATGATAAACATCAGCATATAAATCTCGAATACTCGTAAGAGCAAGGTATCTTGGTCATATATACTCAACAGTGTGTCATAATCACTTCTGCCGTCTATCAAACCTTAGGCTATCAAATAACATCTCAATGCAACTCACTTGCAAGATTTTGAAATCATCGCTTTATCATGCGCGACGGACTACCCAATTGGTATTCTAAACAGTGTACATGGCTCATTAGTCTCATCGTTATCTCAGTGCGTAACATGAGTGCGGGACGACGTATCATATACGTATCCTAGAAATACGGCTCATAAGCCTCATCGCACCCTAGTGCAGACGGACTACTAGATGAAGCGTCCTAAAACCGACCCAATGGCCTGTATAAATGAAATATCGACGCACTACCCCACATAGTACTGAACTGAGCTCATTAACGTTATCCATCTCGTGAATAAATTGTGTATATCTGGTATATCGATGCACTATCCCGAATAGTATTGAGTTGTACTCATCAATGATATCCAACTCGTGTATAAACAACTTCTAACTCTTAAGTGTAATCGACCCAACACTTGTCATAATCCCCTTTGGGATACTCATGTGTGTACTACGATACTATTCATGTATAATCATGTCTGTACGTGTACTATCGTGCGAATCGAACCCCGCGATCGCTTCTCAAATCAGTGCAACACAATATTCAGGAAAAACCGCTTTAGTAGTCGACTACTAAGCTAGTAGTCGACTACACTGAGTCCATCCAGACTCTGTAATGACATATATCAGTATCAGTAGTTGACTATTAAGGACATTAGTCGATTACTCTGCAACAATCAGGTTTCTATAGGTTTAAACTGGGCATGAGTAGCCGACTACTAAGCTTAGTAGTCGACTACCCTATCAAAACATGCATTCTTTCATGCACGAACAATACTTATTAATCAATTTCACATATCATGAAGTTAAAACAATATCTTATACTTGGCATATGCAACAAAGATTATTTGAATCATAATACTAAATTATTAATTCTTTCAAACTAGGGTTTAGCATCCTAATTAATTAATTTCCTCAATTAGCTCATATATAAACAACATGATTATCAACACATGATAAAAACTACTCATGAACAGAGGTAAAATTCGTTTAAGCATATTTATCTCACTTAGGTATCACAAACCTAGGGTTTTAGCATGATTAGTTTATAAGAAAACTCAATTAAATAACTAATTAGGGTTTACACATGGGTTGAACATAATTAACAAGTTAAAAACAAAATTAACATCAACCCTAATGATCATGATCATGTTTCTAACATCAACAACAAGGGTTAAGTTTCAGATCTAACACCGGTTCATGATTCATCATCAAAAATCAAAATTTTATCACTTAGATTTAAGCTTTAAGCATGAAACCATTGATTTAACATCTAAATCATCATTAAAATCTAAAGAGAATGGTTTGGATGAAAATGATCTTGCCTCAAACGTCGTGTCGAACTCCTGGACACATGTGCAAGATCTCTTTTCCGCCAAAAACTGTAAAGCCCTGCCCTTCCCTCGACAAACACCTCAGAAACTCTCCCAAAACCTCACAATTAGGGTTAGGGTTTGAGGAGGAAGGTGACTGGTGATATCTCACGTGAAATAAGGTTAAAAGAGCTTTAAAACAGTTATAAATACATAGGTATACAACTAGGTTCGAAGCAAACAAAACCGGCCCGATATCAAAACCTGCACACGCTAGGAAAACTCCCACTAGTCGACTACTAAGGGTATTATTCGACTACTCTGTATCACTTAAGATTCTGTTCACTATATCTGGCTCAGAGTAGTCGATCATTAAGGATATTAGTCGACTACTTTGAGTCTATTTTGCCTGTGCATACCATTTCACTCCTATACTCGTATACATGCATCGAATTGATCTCAAATCAATTCCTAGCACACTCAAACATCAATAAACGTTATTTATCACAATATAACACGTTTTTTATTATATGTCACAAAATATTCAAATTTATGGAGTTTTACACGTGTTCATATATAGAGGATGATATATAGATGATGGTGGTCCAGGATTCGTATGACTGACATGGAAAACATGACTAGGAAGTTTAAGTAAACCATTGGTTTAACAATTGTATGCTCATGCCACATTTTCTGGTTGATTCTTAATGCTGGCGAGATAATGTCTTTTGTGATGATTTGACTAATGGATTTTTGTTTAGGTCAGATATCAAGCACATGATCTAGGTTAAGGTTTCTCATCATAAATCATTGTACGTTAATATGCTTGAAGCTTATAGTTTTATTAATATTTTTTTATTGGATGGTGGTTGTAGTTTTATATGGCTTTTTTATCCTCACAATTACCTTTGTGGTTTAGAAGTAAAAAATTGCCACAGGGATACATATTGGTATTGAATCTATTAACCTTGTGTGTGGAAGCAGGTTGTGATGGTTGATAGCAACTGTTGAAGTTGCTTTCTTCCTGGTTTGCTTATATTCTTTTTCTTTTCTTTTCTACCTTTTGAGGTGTTATTCCGAGTTAACACTTATAAAATATATTAGTGTATTTTGTTGGCCTTGAAACTGTGGATATGTTAGATAAATTGACTTGGAACCAAAGTTGCCTAGGAAGTGGGACCATTTCTTGAGCAAATATCTGGCTGTTGTTTTAAATTGAGAATTATCTTCAAAGTAGTGGCCAGTAATTTGTGGAAAAATTTATTCTATAATATTGTCATTTTAGGTTGGATTTGTTTATGCCATACTTTGAAGGAGAGCTGAAGCTTGGAGACATCAATGAAGATAACAAGGGCAGAAAATTCAGTTTCTTACAATTTACATGCCGCTTAATGATCTTACACCTTCACATCATACTGTACATTATGAAACATTTTTGTATAGCTACTCATACGATTGCCCCATGGTATGCTGGAAAAAAAACTACATGCCATCCTGGCCTATTCCGGACTGACTGAGGAAGATATTAGCACATATTACTTCAAACTTATGAGAACATGCTTGGATTTGGTTTTTGACTTGTTCAGTACCACAAGATAAATGCAGTTTCCCTTATGCTTATTATCACTATGCTCCTACATACAGACTCTTCTTCAAGAAGAATAATTTTGGAGGATTCTTGGTAACATGAACTCAAAGTATGATTGTGCAATTTGGATCTCTTGTTTAATGAGACCAATTTTTCAGTAATTAATGTTCCCATTGCTTGTGAAACTTGGCACTAATTCAGAGATTGACATGAGGTGGATAACAGCGATTAATCTGTTAAATGTTTTGAAAAATTGGTGCTCTATATTATTTGGGTACTTCTTGAAAGTTGTACCCAATGTTGAAAATAGCGATAACGCATAGCGTAACGCTTACCTCTGGTTAGGTTACAATAGCGATAACGCATAGCGTAACGTAGGTTAAATAATTTATAGATATATAACATTCAAAATAAAAAAAATATGAATAATCATCGCAATTCTCAATTTCACAAAACAATGTCCTCAAAATAAAAAAATCATTACATTCTCACTCTCATTTTACTTACTTTATTCTATTTTTGTTTGATTGGAGAACAATATTTTCCTCCTAATCCACGAGTCAAAAAATAAACCAGTACAAAGATAATTTTTAAATTTTTTATTGTTAAAATAGCTACAGTAAAAAAGAGAAAAAAAGGACCGATCCTCCCTTCCCACTTAATTTATCTACAGGAAAAAGAAGGCCGGATAAAAGAAACAAGGATCCAAGTGGATCGACAGAAAAAACAAAGGAAAAAAAAAAGCTGGCCACGAACCTTCTCGTTGAGGAGGAAAAAAAGAAAAAGTTGGAAAACGAAAGAAAAAACATCGCACCTGATGCCCTTAAAAACCTTGTGCTGTCGAGTGTCGATCTTCATCGTCTTGGTGGTCGATCGCCGTCGCCTTAGTGGCCGATCGCCGTCGTCAGGTAAGTAGATCGAAGATCCCTTGAAGCTTCTTGATCTCTCAGTTTTTGTTTTTCCACTTTTTGATTTTGATCGACAGATCCCTTGAAGCTTCTTGATCTCTCTGTTTTTGTTTTTCCACTTTTTGATTTCGATCAACAGAACCCCGCACCTGATGCCCTAGCTTCTTGATTTAGTTCTCTGTTTTTGTTTTCCCCCTCTTTTGATTTAGATCGACAGAACCCTGCACCAGCCGCACCTGATGCCCTGAAAAACATCGATTCCCAGTCATTAAGCAAATAACGCAGGTTATCAAACGCTACGATGAAACGCCATGTAACGTGCGCTAGGATGAAAATAGCGTACGTTATTTGGTATTTACGCTATTTTAAAACGCTATGTAGCGTTAAGCCACCGCTACGTCACGTTAAACGCCATTTTACGCCACGGAACGCGTTTTTTTCAACATTGGTTGTACCCTAAGGTTATCGATAGCGGATAGCGTCGCGTAACGATGAGGCATCGCTAAGGCTATTTGGGGCTATTGCGGTAAAATAGCGGTAAAAAACACAAATTCAAATAGCAGTCTAATTTAGATATGTATAAATACTAAAAAAAAAGATTAAAGAAAGACCAAAAAAATCTAAAAGTACATATTTGATGATTTAAAGAGATCCTAAACATGAAATAGACATGTAATCAACTAATCATCACATAATATTGAAGATAACTGGAGGAGTCAAAGAGTCGTCGTCTTCGAGAAGAAGAGCTGAACGGTGAGAGGACTGCCCTAAGATGAGCTCACGGTGAAGGAGGTGAGAGAAAGCATTGAGGTAGGTGCCAGAGGCGGTGGGAGTATGCCGAAAATCACAGGAGACGGTGGAATACAATGGTCAAGTGTTGGGTTTAATTTTAAAAAAATAAACCTCAAACCGCTTTTAAATAGCAGTCAAAAAGTGGATTTCGCATGCAATTGCCAACTATAAACCGTTATGGCACACTATTGGCCTCTTCTGCGAACGAAAAATGCATATTCCGCAATATGTCACCGCTATTGGGCGATAGTGTAGCGGAAAGGGACTGCTAACGCTATTAGCGCCGCTATTGCGGGGCTATTTACCGCTATTTATAACAGTGTTGTACCCTTACCCAACTCGTACTAGTATCTGTACCAAAACTTGTTGGATACTTCTTAAATATACGCACATGTTTGTTCAGGTATATACTCAACTATATAATATTTGTTTTAAATTAAAACGCTCCTTTTACACTTCATGGACGTTTATATTACACTTCACATCTATTTCTTATATATTGGTCTTATGTAATGAAAAAAAATATTAATCTTATGTAAATTATTAATTTTAATGCATATAAATATGTATAACATACATTATATATATAGTTGTGTCCCCATACCCTACTTTTATAAATTTGTTGTGTTCAATATCAGTACTTGTACCCATACCCATTCCACTTAGTTTGGCTTTTTCAGGCAAGAATCTTGCTCCTTCGGTGACTCCCAAGTCTCCAATTTCGATAGAGGATGAGAGCATATGATTCTGTGTCAGAACGAGGAATCATGTTTATCAATGATTTCTAGAGAAGTGTTTCCAGGATGAGCAATCATCTTTAACAAGATTTCTAGAGAAGTGTTGCTCATGTTGAAATGCTATGGGTGGTAGTATTTTAAAGGCGCTCTCGGGCGCTCGCCTCGGGCGCAAGGAGATGCGGAGCGGTGGCATAGTGTCCCGCATAAGTGTGGGGTGCTACGCTTACACTAAGCGCGTGCCCCAGAGCGCTTAGCGCCTTGCGCCGATCGATCGTCTCAGGCTTCATCAGCGATTGGGTTTGGTTGAATTAGTAAAAGCGGACTATCGGGTACAAACCCGACTCCAGCTTAAGCCCAAAACAATTCTAACCTGACCCACAACAAAGAATTAGGGCTTCATTTACTTCGTTCTCTCTCCCTTTCTCTTCGTGTTCGGTGTTCTCCCTACGGCAGAGGATAGAAAACAGTGAGTAGCCGGTGGCGAGTAGAAA